AAAAGACTTTTAATCGTTCCGAATTTTTACGAAATATTTTTGAAATATTTTATCGCAGAAATTTATATATATCTATATTTTTTCACAATTATTTTATACGCAATTTCGAAAAATATACGCGTGTAATTTTTCGCGAGCTCAGCTAATGGTTTCGTTTGTTCTGGACGAATGTCCAGTAGGAGGAAGATTTATAGACACCTTTACTCGAAATAAATGAAACCAACTCTCGTTAATCACGACTCTTGACTGCTGAAAACGGAAATAATCGAAATTGGATAATTTAGAAAAAGAAGTGAGTCATATCTGGTCCTCGAGATACTCGAATTTACGTTCATCCACGAAATATTCGTTTTGCGTTGTCAATTCGTCCGCCCAATACAATTTATTTATCAATAAATTTTTATACCACTCGCGGTAGACAACAATTTCCTTCTTTCATGCAAATTGTTCATATTTTTCACAATTGATTTCACAATTAAACGTGGTTTACGACAGGATATCTACTATCTGAAAAAACATGGAGAATTTGGAATTCTTGGGTTTTTTTTATATCTGAAAAAATCGGGGAAATTTAATGGAATTTTATTGCAATTCAAGGAATTTTTAAAAAATTTTTCTTTGATAATTTTGCTCTTACACTATTGTAACCGACAAGCTAAATGAATTATGTGTTTAAAACCTATTATAAGCATATATATATTTCTGTATTTATACATTAAATCTCGTAACACAGAATATACAGGGTGGCCCCGAACGTTTCAGTCTGACTTCGAGATCTTATAGAAAATTTAATTCTGAACAAAAAATTTCCCATAAAAAATAAAAATCTTTTTCTTTTATGAAAATAAAATAATTTGTTTTTTAACTAACTTTTATTTTATTTTCATAAAAGAAAAAGATTTTTATTTTTTATTTTTATCGGTTTTATCAAGAAATTTATTTAGTTTCATTTTCTTTTCACCTTTTGCTCTTCCTTTATCAGAGGTTTTTGAGCGATAACTTCTTAAGGAAGCATTTTTCGACTATGTTTATAGGAAATTTTTTGTTCAGAATTAAATTTCCTATAAGATCTCAAAGTCAGACTGAAACGTTCGGGGCCACCCTGTAGAATAGTTTTACATTTTCATTGTAATTTTTACCGATAAAAATTAAAAAATGTTATGCAGATGAAAAATATGTTATGGAAGCTATTCAATTTTTTTCAGTCAATTGTTAAGTGTTAAATCTAGAACTTGAAACTTAAGTAACTCTTTATTTTTCCATATGCGTCAAAAATATTAGAAGATTTAATTTTAGAAAAGTGCATTCAAAAAATGTCTAGAAAAAATTCTCTTTACCTGAAATTTCAAATAAAATCGAACCTAGAAGGTTCGGAAATTTTCAGGAAATTTTTTTTTATAAAATTTGAATGGACATTTTGCATAAGAGAAAACTAAGAAAAGGAGGTCAAAAAGATAGAAGAGCTTCATTTTTTTTCGAAAAAAAGTTTCACAATGCTCGATTAAAGCGACAAAACGACGCTATCGATCCTCTCCATTAAAAATGTCCATACAGGAAATGAAATATATTGTTGCTGTGCGGTAAATGCACCGCGAATTCGGCAAGCTTCATTGATCCACGCTTGATCTCGTGCTGAAGAAACTCGTGCAAGAAACTCCTTCCTGATTCTCAGCACTTCCTCTGACCTCGTATTTTCATTGCATTCAGCGTATTGTATTCTTTATGTTGCCAATTCGGGTCCCACTTTTTGCACACTTTTTTTTAAGTTGAAGAACAAAAAAGTAATCAGCAATTTATTAGCGGCTTTCGAATAATTAATTCCGAAAAATGCTAGATTTTAAGTCAGTCTTAACATATAAAATATATTATATATATTAATATATAAGATATATTATATACAGGGTATCCTAAAAATCTCGGACGAATATTTCATAAACTATGCACTTTAGAAAGAAATGTTTCAGACAAAAGTTGTATGGCTTGAAGGGGGCCATCAGATAGTGGCAATGATTTGACATGGGAGAGTCATTTGAAAGTCACGTGAAGATCACCGTCAATTTCTTAAATGGAACTCCCTATTTTTTATTACATATTACATATTTATATTTTATTACATAAGAAAAAACATAGTTGTTTTTAAGAAAAAAATATGTAACTTGCAATTAACAATTACATTTTTTTTTAAAAACAGTTATGTGTTTTCTTTACACCAATTGATTCCTCTCATTATTTTGTACATAAAATTATTAAGGTAAGATAATCGAAAAATGAATATTTTACTAGATATTTTATGGTTTATGCAAAATTAAAAAATGATTTCAAGCCTCATAACTCGAAAAATACTCAATGAAGAAATACTTTATTATAATGTTTTGAAAAGTTCTCGAGATAAGCTACACGAATATGTAATAAAAATAGGGGGTTCCATTTAAGAAATTGACGGTGATCTTTACGTGACTTTCAAATGACTCTCCCATGTCAAATCATTGCCACTATCTGATGGCCCCCTTCAAGCCATACAACTTTTGTTTGAAACATTTCTTTCTAAAGTGCATAGTTTATGGAATATTCGGTCCGGGACTTTTGGGACACCCTGTATATTAATATATAAGATATATTATCTATTATATATTTTCTCACGTATATAACAAGGTGTCTACTTCTAGAAAAAAATGGAAATATTTATAGATTGGAGTATTTACAGATTTCCTTTGTATCTGGAAAAATCATTTATAGATTGGAGTATTTACAGATTTCCCTTGTATCTGGAAAAATCAGAAAATTTTCATGGAATTTTATTTAGATTTCAGGGAAATTTAATAAAAAATTCTTTTTATATGACAATTTTGTATATTATAAAGTTATTCTTACATTGTAAGCAAGTCCATATTATATTTAAGATATATTTATTTTTATATATTTATATATTTTTATATATATATATATTTATATTTACCTTTGTTTACATTGAATATCTCTTAACAAAATATTAAATATACACTAAATATTTTTCATTGTAATTTTTAATAATGAAGAAATGGAAGTGTGCAAATGAAAAATGTTTATCTTATGAAAACAATTTTTTCCAATAGATTTGCAAATCTAGCACTTGAAGTTAACTTGATTGTGTTTTTTTCCTTTATATCAACAAAAAAATATAAGAAACACAATAAATAAAACTTATTTTAGAAAATTGATTAAAAAACCTTTAATATATATTCTTTATCTAAAATTTTGATTAAAAATATCCAAAACATCAGGGATCTTTTATTTTTTTTAGAAAACTTGAATAGATATCATGTATAAGGAGGAGCGAAAATAGAGAATTTTGATATTCTTATATCTTTGCGCGCATATAATTACTTTCGGATGATATAAAAAATTCTAATTTATTCATAGAACTAAAAGTTACTGTAAAAACCAGCTAGATTTATGCAAATTGTTTTCTCATAAAAATCCATTTTTCCTTTTTTTTTAAAAGAGAAAAAAATAGTTTCTATTATATTGCGTGTGTATGTGTGTATTTTCAACACTAAATAACTCGCAAATGAAAACGAATTCACGGCAGCAAATGACAGGATGTCATTCGTGTGATAATAAGTTCTCGCTAGGAACGAAGTAAAAAATATATCGCGCGCCGATTATTTCCATCGCGTAAAAGCTTTCTCGTTAATAACGAGAACCGTCGATTATCAAAATGCGCTTTATTCTCATTCATGGGAATCTCTGTTCGTGTCCTCTGCAATCAGAATTGGCCAAAAAAGTCCGATGAGTAGAAAAAACCACGATGAATTTTCACTGCGGACTTTAACCAATAAAATAAATTGACAAAAATAAAAAAAATAACTAATATGTGACACTAAAATATATTTATATGACTTTACGTAAAAAAATATTTTTGATTTAATTATTTTTTGTTTTAATTAATAGCTCATATTATATAATTATTACGGATTTAAAAAAAAGGAATTTTAATTTAATAAAGTCTTTTTTAATTCAAATTAGTATGTAAAATTTTTTTAAATAAGAACTTGGATATATATATATATATATATATATATATATATATATAAAATTAAATTGTATATTAATCTTTAGTTTAGTAAAAAAATAACAAAATTGAAAATTTTTATCGAAATATATATCTGGTTTGCGTTTTCCTTTCAATCACTTTTAGCAAAAAATTAATTATTTGCTACGTTGACTCCTAATCCATTACAAATTTTATTTTGAATAAAGTTTAAATTAAAAAACACTTCCTCAATTAACGAATATTGATGAGAAGATTTTTTTTATTCATGTTAACATTTTTAACGGAAAGGATTAATCTTTATCGATTTTTCCAAAAAGTACCGGTTTGATACCATTGGATTTTATCTAAAAAAATGTGAAATTTTGCTAAATCTCCTAATCTATTACAAATTTTATTTTGAATAAAGCTTAAATTAAAAAACACTTCCTCAGTTAACGAATATTTTATTTTGAATAAAGCCTAAATTAAAAAACACTTCCTCAATTAACGAATATTGATGAGAAGAATTTTTTATTCATATTAACATTTTTAATGGAAAGGATTCTTTAAGGAATCCTTTCCGTTAAAAGGATTCTTTAAAGGAATCTTTATCGGTTTTTCCGAAAAGTATCGGTTTTGTACCTTTGGATTTTATCTAAAAAAATGTGAAATTTTGCTAACTCTCTATTACAAATTTTAATAAAATTTCTAACTAATCTATTACAAATTTTATTTGGAATAAAGCTTAAATTAAAAAACACTTCCCCAATTAACGAATATTGATGAGAAGAATTTTTTATTCATATTAACATTTTTAATGGAAAGGATTCTTTAAGGAATCCTTTCCGTTAAAAGGATTCTTTAAAGGAATTTTTATCGGTTTTTCCGAAAAGTACCGGTTTGGTACCATTGGATTTTATCTAAAAAAATATGAAATTTTGCCAACTCTGTCTGCAATATATCAACGGAATGAATCTTTCTGTTTCAGAGGCTGATCGCTGAACTTAACAAGGAACAGGAGGCCTTCATCGCCAGTAAGCAGACAGGCGAGAAGGGCGAGGCTGTTGCACCGTGGGTCGGTGCACCGAATGAAGACGCGCTACGCGAGGAGTGCTTGTCACTTTCAACTGTGAGTGATTTCCGTTTTCATTTTCCATTATGAAGACTTGGGAGAACTTTGAAATATTTAAGAAACTTCCTGTGTCTCGCAGTTCTTGTGATGCGCTACAATTATCTCAAAATCATGTCCTTGTCACGAAATCATGCCTTTGTCATCAACTTACTAAGGAACTTCGCGAATTCGGATTTTTTCATTTTAATATAAACTTTGCGTGCATGATTATACAGGGTGGCCCCGAACGTTCCAGCCAGACTTTGAGATCTTATAGGAAATTTAATTTTGAACAAAAAAATTCCTATAAACGTGGGTCGAAAAATGCTTCCTTAAGAAGTTATCGCTCAAAAACCTCTGATGAAGGAAGAGCAAAAGGTGAAAAGAAAATGAAATAAGAAAATGAAACTAAATAAATTTCTTGAAAAAAACGATAAAAATAAAAAATAAAAATCTTTTTCTTTTATGAAAATAAAATAATTTTTTTTTTTAACAAACTTTTATTTTATTTTCATAAAAGAAAAAGATTTTTACTTTTTATTTTTATCGTTTTTTTCAAGAAATTTATTTAGTTTTATTTTTTTTTATTTCATTTTCTTTTCACCTTTTGCTCTTCCTTCATTAGAGGTTTTTGAGCGATAACTTCCTAAGAAAGCATTTTTTGACTCATGTTTATAGGAAATTTTTTGTTCAGAATTAAATTTTCTATAAGATCCCAAAGTCTGGCTGGAACGTTCGGGCCACTCTATATAAAGGGTAAAAAAGTTTAGAAATTTTTATAATTAATTCTGAAAAACTGGAACGTCCCGTTTGACCACTTTGCCAATTATATTGATTGACCATAGCCAATTATATCGACCTGTGCCTGGAATAACGAGCAACGATTGATCAATCAGAGAGTTCTATTTTGAATTGGCCAATTGGCGACGTGGTCAATCGGATATCTCTGAAAAATTATTCTAAAAGATGAAACCATGTTTTATCAGGAATATTCCCGGAAAATATCCAGTAAATAATAAATTATACTCCCGGAAAAGATCTTGAAAAATTGGTATTCTCAGAGACTTTTGTTTTACGTTGAAAAATAAGGGAATTTTGTCGTGAAATTTTATTGGAACGAAAGGAATTTGATAAAAAGTTGATTAAATTTTGTGTTAAACATTTTTGTTAATCTAAACAAGTTTAATTTTGAAACTCTGAAGACTACTTTAATAGCTTAAAAATTTGAGAAATCTATTCTTTTACAATATTTAAATTTTAAAATTTTATGCGATTTTATTGATTTTATTTTTTTTATCAATCTTTTGTGTTGGTTTTATCTTTTATATGATTTACACTAGAAATATTTTTCTCATAACATAATATGTATACACATATCTCTTGATATTTTTAGAGTGTATATAATATTTTATAACTCTTCAATCGATATCAAATGTTAGTTCTTCAGAGCCTATATTTTATTCGATATATAAATAATTATTTTAAAATATATTTATAAGAAACGTGAAATTTTTTATGTTTAAAATATATTAAAATATATTTTATTCGTGTTAAAAAATCACGCAATAAATAAATTTATTTTAAAATTGCATCTAAAAATATTTTAATTCTGTCTGGAATTTTGAATAAAAGCATCTGAAAAATCATGAAATTCTTAGAGAATTTATTTACAAGATTTGAGTATAGATTCTTTATGTTTACAATACTTTTTTCTCGATATATTTTTAAAATTAATCGAGATTTATTATAAATATTTTATGCAAAAATTTTATTATAAATATATCTCTATTTACTACGCAATAAAATTTTGAAAGAAATTTAAAGAAAAATAATTTTTTTAAATTATAATTTAAAAAGTTTATAAAATTATCTTGTTTTATTTTCTTTTAATTAATTGGTCTTAATAAAAGTGTGATATGATAAAAATTTGTAATAATTTGAATAATTTTTGCGATATATCAAGAAAATCTGAAAGAGTTTACATTACTTATGAAATTTTATCTCTTCAAATCGTTTTTCAAAAATTTTTCAAAAATTTTTAAATTTTTAAATTCATTCATACCTCTTTTACACATGCAAAGTTTCATACACATTATTATTATACATATTATTATAAAAATAAAATTAAAAATGAGTAGCTAACAACATCAGCTTGTTAAAATTATTTCCCACATTAAATACTCGCAAAAAATATTATTTCCTAATTAATTGCTCATAATATAATTAAAAAAATCAATCAATAAATAAAGAAATGGCAGTGCTAGTTTATTTACAAAAAAAAAAGTAAAATATATCAACGCAATTAATTGCTGCTATTAAAAATATCTTGATTGTATCGTTAAAATCCGAATTCCTTTAATCCTTGATCGTATCTTTTCTCGCACGTGAGTTTTTTAAATATAATTAAATATAACTTTTTTTTAATAGAATGTTTTTGATTAAATTTCTGCACTATCGCACATGCATAAAATTATCTTTATCAAATTTCTTATCAAATTTTCGCTCAAAAGATTTTCATCATAAGATGAGTTTCTCAGTTGTGCGTCACAAAGATATCGGATTTTCAACTATCACACCATACAAAGGAATGATCAGTTTTTTTCTCTTTCGGCTTTTTTCAATTTCAGTATATTTTCCCTTCGTTTAACTATTTTGTGTTTGTAGTAAATCAAAACCGATTGTTAGTAAAAATACTGCAACATTTGATACGCGTTGAAAATTGTAGAACTTCTTTTTTGGGATCGTTTTACACATCGTGTTACACATTTTTGAAACTTTAAAAGTTATTCAAGTTATTAAAAATTTTTACGATATCAACACTTTTATTTAAGACCAATAAATTAAGAAAAAATAAAACAAAATAATTTTATAAACTTTTTAAATTATAATTTAAAAAAATTATTTTTCTTTAAATTTCTTTCAAAATTTTATTGCGTAGTAAATAGAGATATATTTATAATAAAATTTTTGCATAAAATATTTATAATAAATCTCGATTAATTTTTGAAAATTTACATGATAGCCATGCAAAATCTTGTGGAAAAAAGGGACGAAAAAGTGTTTTGATAAAGAGAAAATGACAGAAAAATTGTGAGATTTTTAAAAAATAAAGACGCGATCAAACATCGCCTCTCTTTTAATGGAAAAAAAATTTCATTACTAAAACGCGATTTTAATAATTCCTTCCTAACTCAAATCTGCTCGTAGCAATTACGGGAGGAAATTTTCCTCTCGGATGCTCTTCCTGTTTATTCATGCCCGGCGTTTTGCTGTTTATTTACGCAACGTTGCAAAGGATTAAGTGCCACGGATTTGGCGTCTGGCTTTAAACGAGCCGGCCGGATTAAACGGGGATCTTTTACCCTCTCATGGATTTCAGGATCGACGTAATTTTGTGAGAGCGCCACCACCAGGGGTAGAATTCGCTTGGGACTTCGAGGCAGTTCAGCCAATGGCACAGGCCACTCTCGCTCTGGATCCGAATCTTGAGACCATGAGGTTCGAGCTTGTGCCGAAAGTGTAAGTAATAATTTTCTCATTTCACTTATTTAATATCGAATATGAAAATTCTCAGAATTTTGGCGCGATTCTTCCGATCAATCGTCGTTATTTCACGAATGTAATTTTATTTATGTTATAATTATATTTATATTATAATTATTATATTTATTTATTTTATTATATTTATTATATTATATTTATTTATTTTATTATAATTATTATATTATATTTATATTATAATTTTTTAAATTAATTAATACATGAAAGCAGGGTTGGCATGTTTTAAACAATGTGTTTAAAGCTGTTTGATTAAAGCTTGTTTAAAATGTTTAAAACAGTGAACACTGTTTTAAACATTTTTGTTTTAAACTGTTTTAAACTACTGTTTAGAACCGTTTAAAATATCGCAAATAAAATATATGATTATTTGGAAAAAAAAATTATAAAAAAAATTAGAAAAAACAAAAACTAATAGATATGTATGTTGCAAAAAAGTTTTTGTTTTAGTGTTTTTAGCTTTTTATCTATATTTATGTAACATATAGATATAAAAATATAAATAATAAAATAAAAATGATAAGATGGGTATTATTTTAGCAGAATATTTATTTTTGGATATTAAATAATAATCAATACAATAAAGATTACTTAGAAGATATTGACTGATTTTACATTTTACATTTTAGCATTTTAAATTAATAGTACATAACTCATAGGGTCAGTAGTTCTAAAAAAAGTTCTTCTTTTAAAAAGAAGAATTGAGGTTTTTTATTTTTCTTTTATTTATAATTTATGTTGAGAGTTAAGCATGAGGTTACTTAATAAGAATAGGAAAGGAAGTATTATATATTAAATATTATTAACTAGAACCTTTTTTTAGAACTACTGACCTGCTATGAGTTATGTACTATTAATTTGAAATGTTAAAATGTAAAATATAAAATCAGTCAATATCTTCTAAGTAATCTTTATTGTATTGATTATTATTTAATATCCAAAAATAAATATTCTGCTAAAATAATATCCATCTTATCATTTTTATTTTATTATTTATATTTTTAATAGCATTGTCAATTTTGGCAACGTTATTTATAGTTTAACGCTAGCGAAAAATTTAAATATTTACACAGATCAAAGCTATTAAGTATTTTTTGCTTGTTTAAAACATGCTTTTTTACTTTACTTAAAAAACACAAATAAAACAAAAAACATTGTTCTAAAAAAAAAACAATGTTTTTTGATTAAAATAAAAAAAATAAGTTTTTTCCAACCCTGCATGAAAGTATAATGACACAAGGAACAAAAGCTATCGTTTGAAATTCGTTTACTCGAAATTAATAATTCTGCAGCATTATTCTTCTTTTTATCGCGCAAGAACAATTGCACTTTTCATAAAATTGTATTGTAATCACATGACGTGGCGTGTAATAATGAAAAAAAAATTGATGAAAATATTTATTTTTATTATTAATTCGTCGACAAGTAGAAGTTCATTAAATAAAAATGTGATTGATTGACTGATGGGAGTAGTATTTTCGAAGAGGACGGGATCATTTTCAATTTATTTTATGATAAACAATTCAGTAATGAAATTAATGCAATATTTGACATAAATAAAATGCATTATATTACGTCCGCGAAATTATTTTTCGAACGAAATAATTAGATCAATGGCATTGCTTCAAACAACAAATGTTTCCGAGAGAGCTTCGGAAATATGTATGTATATAGAGTAGTCCGTAAATACGTAGTGAAAATTAAGTAAGTCAATCCTTAGATAATTTTTTTCTTTGTGAAAAGTTGATATATACTTTTTAAACGGTTTAGTTCCAGAGATTCAAAAAGGTGTTCAATAAAAAAATTATATTTTTTTTTAATCTCGAAGACAGTTCAAATGAAAAGTTCTGGTATCATTAAAGGTGTACAAGTGGTTATTGAAATTGAAATTTTGACAGAAAGAGATGAAAAATTTCAAGAAATTTTAAGAAAATTGGTTTAAAAAAAACATTTTTGTGAAATATTCTATAGTTTTGGAAACTATTTAGACAAAAGTAAAGAAATATATATACAGGGTGAGGAAAAGTATGGAAACCTTTAAATTCTTCGAAAATTATACATTTTAGAAACAAATGTTTTAGACAGAAGTGTAGGGTTTTAAGTAACGCATTATGTAGCAATATGACCTTGAATAGCACCATCAAGATCACATAAAAATCAGTTCGAATTTTTTAAATGGAACTCCCTATTTTTTATTACACATTCTTATAGTTTGTTTCAAGAGCTTTCCAAAACACTATATTAAAGTGTTTTTTCATTCAGAACTTTTCGAGTTATGAGGCTTGAAATCATTTTTTAATTTTACATAAACCATAAAATATTTAATAAAATATTCATTTTTTTATTATCTTACCTTTATACTTTTATGCATAAGATAATGTGAAGAATCAATTGGTGTAAAGAAAAAACATAGTTTTGAAGAAAAAATATTTTATTGTTTATGGTTTATATAAAATTAAGAAATTATTTCGATCCTTATAACTTGAAAAATACTCACCGAAAAAATACTTTATTATAGTGTTTTGGAAAGCTCTTGAAATAAGCTACAAGAATATATAATAAAAAGTAGGGGGTTCCATTTAAAAAATTCAAAGTGATTTTTATGTGACCTTGACAATGCTATTCAAGGTTATACTAGGATATTGCTACATAATACATTACTTGAAACCTTACAACTTTTGTCTGAAATATTTGTTTCTAAAATGCATAGTTTTCGAAAAATTTAGGGGTTTCCATACTTTTTCTTCATCCTGTATACAGGGTGTCCCAAAAGTCTCGGACCGGTCGAATATTTCATAAACTATGCACTTTAGAAAGAAATGTTTTCGACAAAAGTTGTATGGCTTGAAGGGGGCCATTAGATAATGGCAATGCTTTGACATGGGAGAGTCATTTGAAAGTCACGTGAAGATCACCATCACTTTCTTAAATGGAAAATAATATGTAATTGTTAATTGCAAATTACATATACATAATTACATATGAAAAAAAATATGTAATTGTTAATTGCAAATTATATATTTTTTCTTAAAAACAACTATGTTTCTTTTTTTACACCAATTGATTCCTCTCATTATTTTGTACATAAAATTATTAAGGTAAGATAATCGAAAAATGAATATTTTACTTGATATTTTACGGTTTATGCAACATTAAGAAATGATTTCAAGCCTCATTCCTCGAAAAGTACTCAATGAAGAAATACTTTATTACAGTGTTTTGGAAAGTTCTCGAAATAAGCTACACGAATATGTAATAAAAAATAGGGAGTTCCATTTAAGAAATCGACGGTGATCTTCACGTGACTTTCAAATGACTCTCCCATGTCAAATCATTGCCACTATCTGATGGCCCCCTTCAAGCCATACAATCATTTTGTCTGAAACATTTCTTTCTAAAGTGCATAGTTTATGAAATATTCGATCGGTCCGGGACTTTTGGGACACCCTGTATAAACTTTTCTTCATGAAATCATTTATACATTATTTTTTTAATTATTTTTTTAATTTTTCTGTACTTAAAGACCACTTTAGTAATCATAATAATTAGCCTATTAAGGATCATGAGTACGAAATATACGAGTATAATATTGTTATCGTCGAGAGTTATTCTCGGCGAATTAATTGGCTCGCTCTTGTTAATTAAATAAAATGATTTCTTGATTCTGAAAATTCGTCCGTCAGACATTTCTTGATTTCTCGATTCTGAAAATTTGTCTGTCCTTGCGACAGTATATCCGAGGAGAACTTCTGGCGCAACTACTTCTACCGGGTGTCCCTGCTGCGCCAGGGGTACGAGCTAAACGCGATGGCCAGCAGCCAGCAGCAGGCGGAGAGCAATTCCAATCAAACCCTCGCCAGCACCACTGACAGCATCGATCACACTCAAGGTGACTCGTCGTTTGTTTTCCTCCTTTTTTCTCTCGTTACGTAGTACAGCTTCCGTAGCTTACGTCATTTGGGCTCGCATTGACACTTGCGACACGTGATTAGATTCTCGAGGATGCGTCAACGCGCTTCCTCTTGGTTACTGATTCCGGCGCACGCAGCTTCCTGTATAGAGTCGAAAGGGGATGTTCTTCATGCCGTTCAAAATGGAGATACTCGAGAGACAAAAAACTTCAAAATTATTTGTATTTTTTTATCTTATTTTCAGAGATGCTAAATGCAACATATAATTTATTTTCATATTTCATATTTATTACAAGACATATTGATCTCAAAGATACCTGTAATTAACATAATTAAACAATAATATTGAATTATGTTAATTTTATTCACGATTATCTTTCTCTCCCTTTCAAGAATATCTCACTGATTTCTTTAAATTAACATTGATAATATCTGAGAAACGCACATATGATACAGTGGGAAATAATTCTTATTAGATAAATGTTTAATTAATATAAATTTAATAGCTATATAAAAATAATTTTGTAGCTATAATTGTTAAATAATTATTTAATTTAAAACTTTATATTATAATAAAAATATTTTAATATGCAGATTAATTTGTTTAACACTATTTAGTACTATTAAGCGTAAATATTACTAAGTAATATTCCATTTTATGTATAATCAACGCACATATGAATACAGTTTTATTAATAATACTGTAGATTTTCACTGAAATATTATTTTAATACAATGCAATTGTTATAAATAATCTTTTGATTCTCAATATATAACTTTGTCCACACTATAATTATAAATGTATATTGAATCTGTAAAATAGACAAGCTATCAGAAAGCACATTATAACTTTTAATAACTAATAATAATAAAATAAAAGATTTATTTTACATGTATATTTATGATACAAACTTTATTATATTCTATTCTCTTATATTAATTTTAACAGAGAAGAAATTCCCATGTTAACGCCCACTGCTATATTTTACAATTATTGTCTTTTGTAATCTTTTATAATCTTCAATAATTGTAAAATATGGCAGTGAGGTGCAACAAGGGGATTTCTCTTTATCCTCTATTAAAATTGATGTAGTGTATAAAAAATGTTGTAAAATAAATTACATAAAATTTTTTATAATTCTTATATTTTTAAAGCTCGACTGTTTTCATTTACCGATTAAAGTATATTTTCGAATGCGATAATATGATACGAATTACTTTTATAAATACTTTAATAAAATAATTAATTTTAGTATTTTAAAAAGATTCTTAATTATTTATTATAATAGGAATTAATTTATTAAATAATTATTTAACCAAAATAAATCAATCGTGCAACTATTAAATAACAATTAAAAATTTATCTAACAGGATAAAAATTATTTCCTTTCAGATCGCTTACTATCCTCTGTTAAAATTGATGTAGTGTATAAAAAATTTTTTAAAATAAATTACATAAAATTTTTTATAATTCTTATGTTTTTAAAACTCGACTATTTTGATTTACCGATATTAAAGTATTATATTTTCGAATGCGATAATATGAATTTCGTGAAAAAATATTGTTGAAATATGGACAAACAATAACTCTAACTCACATAATAAAGTCTCGATTGATTTCATAATATTTTACTATAATAATATTTTAATAATTTTATTATAATAATATTTTACTATAATTTCATTCATAATATTTTATCGTATTAATTCATACTTTTATAAATATTTTAATAAAACAATTACTTTTATAAATACTTTAATAAAATAATTAATTTTAGTATTACAAAAAGATTCTTAATTATTTATTATAATAGAAATTAACTTATTAAATAATTATTTAACTAAAATAAATCAATTGTGCAAATTTATTTATTAAATAACAATTAAAAATTTATCTAACAGGATAAAAATTATTTCCCTTCAGATCGCTTACATTACAAGATGGTGTTTAATTAGACACGAATATTGATTCGCGTTAATTTTATCGCTCAATGCAACCAAATTAATTCGGAATCGAGTATTTCTTACCCAAAGATCGGAAAATTCCGATCGTCTGCGCGGTCTGGGATCATCCCCCTTTGACATCTCGCGTCACGACGTCTCGCCGAGATAAACCCTCGCCGAGTGGATGATGCAAATTGGAAGATACAGCGGTGGAGGATCGGCGGCGTCGTGCCGCATCGTTTACGTTTGATTTGCAATTCCGATTAGCTGCGTCCTACGCTGGACTTTTTGCATGAGAGTTTTGAGATGGCGTGTCTGTAGTGGCGTGCGTTTTCTGTGCAAATGTCGATATGCCGGATGCTGGGAACATATTGATCGCGAATTGGTGCCCGAGGTTTTTAATTTCAAGTTCAAAGAGCAGAAAGATTCGCGTCTCGCGACATCATCGGATTTCAAGTTGGATTAATCATAATCACAGCGTGGATCTTATATTTATTTCTTCTATTTTAATTAATTTATTTCTATTTTTTGCCATGTCGCGAATTTTTAATATTACGATATATTAATAATTTTTTTTATATGCGACATAAAATATTTATATGTATATAGAAACATTAGATTGCATATCACATGAAATTTTTTCAATGTTTTTTTATGCATACGAGTACAAATCTAATTATAATAATTAATTATTTTTCTCATCGATACAATAATAGCAATTTCAAAATTAATATTTCTTATTGATTACAATTTTTAGATCATTATATTTTTTATAATTCATTTAGAAATTTTTAGTCGATTCCTTTTTATGAATATTATTGTATCATAATACAAATTTACTTTGTTTTTGATTATTATAATATAAAATTGATAAAAAAAGAGAAATATAAATACTAACAATTTTTTTTACATTTATATGAGAACTCGTACATACGAGAATATACTTATTAAAAATTTTTTTATGAATAAGAATCTAATTTTAAAATAATTAATAATTTTAATTAATAATACAAATTTACTTTGTTTTTGATTATTATAATATAAAATTGATTAAAAAAGGCAAATATCGTAATACTAACAATTTTTTTTTACGAATGAAAATCTAATTTTAAAATAATTAATAATTTTTTCACAAAAATATAAATTTTAATTAACATTTCTTATCGAAAGTTTTCAGACAGCTATTAGATTTATGTACAAATCAATTTTTCTTTCGTAAAATTTCTATAAATTGATTTTTTTTGGAGTTAATGTTCGCAACAAATAGATTCACGATCTGAACGTGAATTCGAGTGGAATTAAATTCTTCGGCGAAGTGGTTAGTTAACGGATTGAAAGTACGAGAGCGAATGTACCAATATGTTCTCTGCGTGGGCTTTTGCGCGAGACGTGGAGTCACGTTTGCAATCGGAATTACGATGTCAGAGAAGTAGAGAGAGAGAGAGAGGGAGAGAGAGAGAGAAGGAGAGTCATTCACCTTGTGATTGTAACTCGATCGTAAAAACAATGGAATTAGCGATGGATAAATTAACGGCATTAACGGATAAAGAGAAATACTTGTCGAGTTGGGAAATCGATCACGGACAGTGTTTGCTGTAGATAATTTCAAAATTATCTAGATAAAAATCTGTAAATTTATCTTAGACGAGATAAAGATGATTTTACTTTTACTTAATCTAGATGAAAGATGAGATAATTATTGCGATAATCTAGATAATTATCTAGATATTTTTGTTTATTTTAGAAGACTATAAATATTTGTAAAAAATGTGACGCAGATTATAAATGGGATATTAAAATCATAAACACATATTCTTTCTCTTTTTCTAAAGAATATTTAATATTATAAAGAAATAATAGCAAAAAGATATATAAATGATATGATAAATATTTATTTATTAATTTGTATTTATAATATATTTATAATATATTTATAATATATTAATAATAATAATATAAAAAATATATTTTAGATATTTTAGATAGATTTTTAGAAGCTTGCCTGGAAAACTTTTTTGTATAATGAAAACGTCATCTTAGACAATTTTTAGATAAGATGACATATATTTTTCATCTAAGATAAAGATAAAGATACTTTGTATTTCTTCATCTAGTTAAAGATAAAGATGATCCATTTCTTTATCTAGATGATTATCTAGATAATTTTATCCAGATACCAGCAAACACTGATCACGGGGAATGGAATCACTGAATGGCTTCCAAATCTTCCTGAACCTTTGGAGATCATTCCGTGAATGAAAATTTCTCAAGAGATTGTTGCTATTCATTGTCTCTCTCTCACTCTCTCTTTCTCTTGCATTCCTTGCTCTACTGTCTCCGATCGTTGAACCGGCATCTTTCACCTTTTAGTCGAGGGAAAAGATCCGATTTCGCTTTAGTTCCAGTATATCGCGAGAAATTGAATCTCTATCGGGAGGAAAATGCCAAGGAAATTCGCTGATATATATATATCCAGCTCAAAGAATATGAACATCCTGAATATCTCCTCTATGTTCGCATTTCTTATTGATTCGTATGCACGATGTCGCACGATATAGAAATAGTCCCTCTCCTCCCGGAATCTTTGCGCAATATTCAGATTTTCGCGGAAAACGAATGGCCTTTGATGTACAAGCCAGTATAAATATTCATAATGTTTTTGCCTCGTCTCGGCTATTTATTTGCACTTACAGAGGATGTGTAAGCGTAATTAATGCTTCCTGGAAAAACATGGAGAACCTGGAATTTTAAGGGATTCTTTTATACTTGGAAAAAAATCAAGAAAATTTATTAGAATTTAGAAAATTTTTTTTAAAAATGATTTTTTTTATTTCTTTTTTTTTATTTGCAAAAAATCAAGAATTCAAAATACTTTTTAAAAAACAATTTCCTCATTGATATAAATTTTGCTCTTATATTGTAAGCAAGTTATAGAGCCAATAAATATAAAAAATTATAAAAATATAATTAAAATATAAATATATTTTCAATGTTTTAATAGAATATGCAGTATAACATATTTTTTATATTTGTAATTTATAGTGATAAAAAAATAAAAATATGCGGGAAAAATGTTTATCTTACGAGAAAGCTCTTCAATTTTTTTTTAATATATTTTCAAATCTCAAAATCTTAAAATTTAAATTACTATATTTTTTCCTTTCCCTATACGAATAAAAAATGTACTTCAAAAATGCAATAATAATACAATAAAAAAACTCATTTGAGAAAAACAGCTTCATCTAAAAAATCTCTACCAAAGTTCTTTTTAAATAACCTAGAGAAGGATCAGAAAATTTTTTAAAATATTTGACTAAACACCTCAATTTTTTGTTAGCAATTTTACCTGTAATTTAAGAAAATAATTTTGCAAGAATTAAAATTCCATTTGTGTCTAATATTTTTATACTAGAACTGATCGGTCCTCTCCAATTTTTTTTAAATATATTTTTAAATCTCAAAATCTTAAAATTTAAATGACTATGTTTTTCCTTCCCCGCTATGAATAAAAAATGTACTTGAAAAATGCAATAATAATACAATAAAAAAACTCGTTTGAGAAAAAAAGCTTCATCTAAAAGATCTGTACCAAAGTTCTTTTTAACTGGAATTTTAAATAACCTAGAGAGGGATCAGAAAATTTTTTAAAAAATTTGACTAAGCACCTCAATTTTTTCTTAGCAATTTTACCTGTAATTGAAGGAAACAATTTTACAAGAATTAAAATTCCATTTGCGTCTAATATTTTTATACTGGAACTGATGCGATCGGTCTCGATGAACGAGCGTGACTTGTTTTCGACATTAATTAATCAATCGTTTGCGAACTCCGTAGACTTTAGTGCTAACTTTAGATACACACACACACCTACACACGCTCATGTTGTATATAAATACACACACGCATCCTTATATACATAAACAAACACACACACGCACACCCTACCCGTTTAGTTTAGCCGTGAGTGTTGTCTTGCGAACAGTTCAAATGACCACTGGCCAGACAACCACCCCTGGTGCCACGACGACGAGCAGTAACAACGCGCTGGCCGATTCGCCAGGCCACGAGTTCGTGTCCGATACCATGAGGGTCTCGGACACAGACCTCGAGGAGGTCCGAGAGGGGATGAGAAAGCTGGGGATGCAGCCGCCGAAAGGTCAGTTCGTTTGATCGTTGGTCGTCGTCAACTATCGATCAGATCACAGATTCGCGTCAGACGAGATCTACCCAATTTTTTTTAGAGACCCTCGAGCGAGAGGAGATCTGTATTGGTACCCGGAGATTTTCCCTCCCAGATGGGAAATTTACACGACTGGTAGATCGAGTCTGTAGCGACGCGATTCTGGAAGATCTTAGATCCCTCGTTCTCTCCCAGTCTTCGTTAGTTGCGACCACCAACGAGGATTTGCTTAAATATGTACGCCGTTTTTCATTTGTTGGCGATCGATGGATGGTATCAGTGCTCTTGTATTGCAATATTGTGTCGAAGGAACACAGTTTTTCATCTATGAAATTTTCATGAATTTTCGATGAATTTTTTTATCGATGAAATTCAGATTGCATTCAATGTAATGAAAGGAGGAACTAAGGCAATATTTGAAACATAGATTACATGAGTTTTCAAGTCACTTTGAAATAATACAAGACTGCTTCAAGTAATCTCAGAGATCTCTAGAGATAAAAAAAATATTGTTTTCTTTTTTCTGGATAAACAACAAATATTGAAAAAGAACATATCTTTGATTAAAAAAAAACATACACACATACAATTTTTTTTCATTTTTTTTAAATATAATTTATTTTTCATCTTTTTTGTTAATGAAATAAAAATATTCTCTAAAATTTTTATACTTTTAATTTATTTTTTTTCGAAAATAAGTTTAACGAATTAATGAGACTTTTGCGGCAAATTTTATCAAACACAATATGATTCGGGTAATTTTCAGTTAGATAATATAACAAAAAATTTTATTATATACATCTAATTGAAAATTATTCGAATTATGTTGTGTTTGCTACCATTTCAATCGTAAAAATCTCATTAATCTCATTAAAATTTTTCGAAAAAAAGAAATAAATTAAAAATATAGGAACTTTATTTTTTTTATTATATTAAAATAATGACTAAAGTATATTTCTAAAAAATGTGTTTTGTCTATAATAAAGATAATTCATTCAAGTTCAATTTTGATTTATTTTTGGAGAATTTACCCTATTAAAAACAATAATATATACAACAATAAAATATACTTTAGTCATTATTTTTAATAGATCGCATTTCAATTGATTATATAAAGTATATTTATAAAAAATGTGTTTTGTCTATAATAAAGATAATTCATTCAAGTTCAATTTTGATTTATTTTTGGAGAATTTATCCCATTAAAAATAATAATTATATAACCAATTGAAATACGATCTATTAAAAATAATGGTGATTCCTTCAAATCTATTACCTAAAAAATCAAAAATAATAACAGTCAACTTGAAATAATCAAAATATAAAGATGTTAAATATCTGGACAGGAAAAAAATCTTTTTTGGAAAAACAATGTTATTTTCTTTTTCACTTAAAAACTATATTTTATGAGAAGAAAACAATATTTTTTTTTCTATTATTATTCTTACTTATTATTTATAATTATTATATTATTAATTATTACATATTATTAATTATTAATTATTATAATTATTATATTATATAATTATATTATTCTTACTTATTATTTATAATAGTAATCGAGATTAGTTATCAGCTGAGAAATGGCAATTCATGAAAACTATTTCTTGTCAAAAGAGGGAGAGAGTACGATTCATTTATTTCGCCAACAAAATGGAAACGGGTCATCGAAAAAAAAAAAAAAAAAAAAAAAACGTGATCGATGCGAGAGCTCGATCCATGCCACGACACGGTCCAAGAGTACTCTCCTCGTGAGTATGAAATTAGTGTGCCACCAGTGAGAAGCCTGACCTTAATCTCTTAGTGTTACACCTTGACCACGCCTAGTGTCGTTTCTTTAGCCTTTCTGTGTACCTAACCCGATCTTCGATCTTCCTGTCTGCGCTTTCTTTAGAGGGATTGCTTGTTTCCGAATTCTCTGCGAGTTTATGGCAACGACGTGTCTTTCCTTTCCTGATACGTCATGTGTCACATGTCATGTTGTTGTCGTCGTATTTGAACATCTGTTGCGTTTTAAACGTGTCTCTATTTTTTTTTTCTTTCTTATTCTTTCTCTTTCTTTCTCTGTTACATGGACGTTCTGAACTAAACGACCGCTTTTCATTCTATTTTGTCAACAGCCTAAAAGAAGAGGAGAGTGCCCCCCAAATGCCATTATCCAAAGCACACCCCCTCAGAGATATACATGCTTTCCGCTCTCGAAAACTGACATTTTCAGTTCTTAGCGGTACCGAAACCTCCTCTCGCCTCTTTCTCTCTTCTCCTCTTTCCCCCGTTTTTTTTTCACCCCTGTACCTCGTCCCTCGTTCCTTTATTTTGTTTCCGTCACGCGAAGCCGCCCCCCGGGCAGGAACGTTCCCACGAGACGAATGTCTGTTTCGTTTCGATCGATCCGGCAGTCGACGCGATACCGTGCCAGTCGCAAGGATCAGCGAGATTGAACGCAACATCGGATTCGATTCGATGAGGAAGTTAGTACGCTAAAAACGTGGAACGTCTCCCAAGACGCGAAGTAAAAAAAAAAGGAAAATAATCTCGGAACCAGTCGAAGAGTAGGTTTTCACTTGACGCTCATTTTCCAGCCTCAAAAAACATCACGCGACCGAAAATAAAGATACCAATCATTTTTTGTTGATCATGTGATGTCCTTTGACGCTAAAAATGAATATTGGAAAGCCACCCTAAGAAGATCGTAATTAGGTAGGGATCAGTCACGTTGGGAAAAAAGCAACTTAACTGATGGAATGGATATAAATTTGCACGCAAAGTAATCGTTCGAGCTTTCTTCGTGATTGTTAAGAGGGATCTCATTTTTTTTAAATTTTTATACAGGGTGACCCCAAACGGTCCAGCCAAACGTTGAGATCTTAGGAAATTTAATTCCGAACAACAAATTTCCTATAAACATGGGTTGAAAAATGCTTCCTTAAGAAGTTATCAAAAACCTCAAATGAAGGTTAGGTTAGGTTAAAAATAAAAAATAAAATAAAATAGAATAAAAAATAAAAATCTTTTTCTTTTATGAAAATAAAATAAAAGTTAGTTAAAAAAAATTTTTATTTTCATAAAAGAAGAAGATTTTTATTTTTTATTTTTATCCTAACCTAACCTTCATCAAAGGTTTTTGAGCGATAACTTTTTAAGGAAGCATTTTTCGACCCATGTTTATAGGAAATTTTTTGTTCAGAATTAAATTTCCTATAAGATCCCAAAGTCTGGCTGGAACGTTCGGGACCACTCTGTATAGATAAAACTTCCAAGTGAACGGGCTCCAAAGACACACCTATTTCTAATTCGATGAGGAGCGTTTTTTTTCCGTCGAAAAAGTCACTTTAGCTGGACACATGTGTTCGAAAAAAATACTTGAAATTTTTGTTCCATAAATATCGAATGCAATACATTTTTTTTATTTAATGTTGACGTCTCTCGAGAGTAAAAAAAGATGTGTTTGTGAAATTTTGCCCGGCAGTTGCTCGTTAGGGACGCGTCGACCCCATCGAATCGCGAAAATGAAATGAAAGGGAAGGAAAAAAAGACGAAGAAGGTCGTCACGTCAAAACATTATGCACGCGCGAGTGCGACAAATGAAAGATAGATGCAATAAGAATAAGAGGGAGCTTGTGCGAGAGAATGAGAAAGAAAAAATAAACAATCGGATCGGATCGCGAGAAGGATACTCGGCTAACATGTCCTGTATGTTTGACTGTTTTGCTGTTGCCTCTGTCTCTTTCTCTCCGTCTCTCTCACTCTTTCTCTCTATATCAATTCCAATTAATCTAACCCGTTTCTCGATTCTCTCTCCGTGTCTTTGTAAACGTGTAATTAACGCAGAAGCAACTAGACGCATCTTTGAAGATAAATGAGTGGGAAGAATAATAATGCAGTCATTGATAAAACGCGAGCTATACGGGGTTCCGAATTTAAATGTTGAAACTTAGCGAATGCGTAGAAGGATATCGATAAGCTAAAAGGTCTTTTAGACATTTGCTTCGTTTTGGAAAAAATCGCAAAAAAAGATAAACATATTTTCATTAAAAAATGTGAAGCGACACTAAAATTATTAGGTTTATTGAAAATGAAATAGGGAATTAAGAAGAAAGGATGAACTAAAAAGTGAGTTAAAATCCTCCTGAAATAAAATTAAGGGATTGTAAATAAATGAGAACGACATTTGACTGCAATGCTTGCATTGTTGCAAGAGACTAAAATTTTGAACGGAACCTAACTTGGTACCTTTACTAAAGAACAGTAACAACATGAATAGATAAATGTAAGTAATAAAAAAGGGAAAAAGTGAAAACTTTTTCTTTTTCGATTTTTTTTTCAAAAATGAGCAAACGTCTGAAAGAATTTTTTTGCAATTTACCGATCCCCTACACGTTTTCGAAATTTTAACGCTTAAATTTTGGGCACCCTGTACATATATATATATGTATACATATATTACATTGCGCAAAAACCGCAAACTTAATCATAGGTATATCTTCGTAAGCGATTAATTAAATGGAGACCTAAGAAACAAAAAAAGATAAATATGTGTGTGTGTGTGTGTGTATATGTATATGTATATATATATATATATATATATATATATATATATACACACACACACACACACACACACACACACACACACACACATACAGGGTGTCCCAGACTTAACGAATCTGTTAATGGTAGATTCCTGAGATCATTTGGGGACGAAAATTCTAATACCAAAATGTTGAGGAAGATTTCATAAAAATGTCCAAACTACTGACTATTATCGCATGGAAAACACAATCGCGCTCACTGCAAAATCCTATTTTTTATGTTATATTCAGCCCTCTATCAACATCGATATTATCGCGCTATACGCGGGTCCCTTGATGCTACGTCTCTGAGCATAGGAGAACGTAACGCGCCGATTGGTAACCTTTAATCTTTTCTAGCGCCAAAACTACATCTTTCCCAACACTTTAGTATTAAGATTTTCG